TCAATGAAGCAGAAGTAGATGTTTTTCTGGAACTCAGTTCCTCTGCCCCTTCAAAATCCGGCTTGCACTTCTGGGAGTTCTCGGTCGATATACTGCTGAAGCATACCATGGAGGATTTTGAGCATAACCTTGCTAGCATGGGAAATGAGTGCAATTGTATGGTAGTTGGAGCATTCTTTGGCACTGCCCTTCTTTGGGATTGGGATGTAGACTGCTCTTTTCCAGTCCTCTGGCCACTGTTGAGTTTTCCAAACTTGCTGGCATATTGAATGTAGCACCTTAACAGCATCATCTTTTAAGATTTTAAATAGTGCCACTGGGATGCCATCACCTCCACTGGCCTTGTTGTTAGACAAGCTTTCTAAGGCCCACTTGACATGTAATATGTATTACTTACTCTAAATATACAAGGAATATCCTTTCGATTTGCATGGATGACATCAGATGCCAAGACAGAACACACTGAGAATTCTTCATCCCTATTAAAAGGACAAAAAAAACAGAAAAAAGATCCATGGCTATCATATAAAAATAAACAAATAACCCATTTATTTCTAAGGTGAAAATGACCACACTGTTCTGAATAATCTTCCTCCGACTTCCATTTATTTCTTTGTCATTAAAAGTATTTGTTAATGGCCCTTCTGTTACTTAGAATGTCCAGATCCACACATGATAAAACAGATTAAAGAATTATTTAATAACATATAAAAATGATCTGATACACTATCTTGTATCAAGGATGAAACTAACCTAAGTTCCCTAGGGAGGGAGTACCACAACTAGAGTAATACCCCTGCAGAAGAAGCCACACCTTGCATACTTACTAACCAGGTCTCTTAGGAAATGGGACAAGCAACACAGCCTTTTTTGGAGATTGGATTTTCTCCCTACAGTTGAAGTGGGGAGAAAGGAGCGCAAGTGACCATACCTTCCCACAAAGCACCTTGTTCCATCTCAGAAATAAGCAGGCATCAACAAGTGGAAGTAAGAGTTGCATTAAGCCAGTACTATAAAATGAGTAAACCTGGACTGAGTGGGAGGTATCCCAAGTTTGGGTCTACACTGGACTTCATGTGCATAGTCCCCATGTAAATGTTATGCTTGCTCCTGGAATAACAAAGGGGCAAAGGACTGAGACTTAACCACCCTACAGTACCTATGGAGACAATAATTCTAATGGAATCACTGTAACTTAGGTTCAGAGCAAATCTCAAACTCAGAGAGGGTATGGATCCCAATATGAAGTAGAAATTTCTATGATTTTACAATCTCAGCCACCATCTTTGAACACTGTTAACTACTAATGTGAAAACTTGATAATTTTTTATTCTGCAAACTCTATGGCAAGCGTAATGCCATAACTAGTGTTTGTAGTCTTTTAATCCAAAATATTCACATACAAAAATGAGATGCACTCGTACACAAATAACCACCAGAGACTTTGTTTTGTAGACATAAAAACTCCAATAGGCATAATTCATATTACAAATAATTCGAAAGGAAAGTGTCTGCTGGTTGTTGTGGGTTTTTCAGGTTCTTTGACCATATTCTTAAGGTTGTTCTTCCTGATGTTTCGCAAGTCTCTGTGGCTGGCATCTTCAGAGGACTGGAGTAGGAACTTTGTCCATCCTCTGTTGCTATTTGTTAGATAATTAAGTATTTATAGCTGTGGGAACAGCTTTTGTCTTTTTTCAGAGATAGGATGATCAGCGTATTTTTTCTTGTGATAAGAGGGGAGAGATTAGCTGAATGGGGCACCAGGCCGTGTTTAGTTTCAGGCCTTCTTCTTTCCTGTTGAAGTTTTGTTTATGTTTATGGATTTCCATGGCTTCCCTGTGCAGTCTAACATACAGATTGCTGGTGTTGTCCAGTACTTCAGTATCTTGAAATAGAATTTCATGTCCAGCTTGTTTAAGGGCATGTTCAGCTACTGCTGATGTTTTCCGGTTGTTTTAATCTGCAGTGTCTCTCATGTTCTTTGATTCTGGTGCGAATGCTGCGTTTTGTGGTCCCAATATATACCTGTCCACAACTGCAAGGTATCAGATATACTCCTGCAGTGGTGAGGGGGTCCCTTTTGTCCTTTGCTGACCATAACATTTGTTGTATTTTTGTGGTGGGTCTGAATACTGTTTGTACGTTGTGTTTTTTCAAAAATTTCCACATGCGGTCCTATCTCCCTATCTCTTGAAATCAGCCTATTTCCAAAAAAAGACAAAAGCTGTTCCCACAGCTATAAATACTCAACTATCCAACAAACAGCAACAGAGCATGGACAGAGTTCCTAATCCAGTCCTCTGAAGATGCCGGCCTCAGAGACTGGCGAAACGTCAGGAAGAACAACCTTCAGAACACGGCCAAAGAGCCCAAAAAAACCCACAACAACCATCAGATCCCGGCCGTGAAAGCCTTTGAGAATACATTGAAAGTGTCTGCTGTTTCGTGTATTAAAAACACACCCATACAGCATTTCCTACCTCATATCAAGAACTTGACTCACTACCACACTGGGCTGGGATGCTTTTCCTTCCGCTATATCATAAAGAAAAAGCTTGAAGTCACAGACAACAGCCAGTGCTCTCTGCCAGCCTTTCTTTACTCCAGCTGGTTTAGGAACCTGTGACAAAACCAAACGCAATAATATTCAAATGTATGGAAAAAACATATGGAAGACTTATATTCATAACAATTGTTTGACTGAAAAGAACATATTTAGTTTGCAAAAACAAACTAGCCTCACTGCTGTGACTTCCATCAATAAATCTTCTAAGGATATTGAAAACATTTAGTTAGGAATTTCTAGCCCTTTCTCAAAAGTATAACTTCTGAGGATCATTGGCAATATATATATATAGAGCTAGACAATCGGCATAGCAGCCTTCCTCAACTAATTTCCAGAGGTCTGGACTTCAATTCCCATGATTCCTTTTTATTTGTCATGTTAACTGTAGGAGGTGGTATTTGCAGTCCAAAATATTTGGAGTGTACTACGTTGGATACAACAATATGGGTTTATTACACACACTTCACAGCAATAACAGCAACAGGAACTTTCACAGAGTAGTTGTCTTCCTGTTACTTCTTAGACAAAAAAACCCACAATTCTTTTCTCAAGACTTACTCGGACATGCCCTTCATAGGCAGTTCCTATGCCTTTTTGCGGATCAATACCCAGGGGACCTTTGGTCTGTTCAGGTGGGATTGGACACACTGCTGGTGCCTTGTCTGCACATGTCACGTGGCATGAAAATCCACACACTGAGATGAAAAACAGAATGAAGCATCTCAATATACAATGCCATTATTGATTGTACAAGAATTAATTTAACAATATGTTGAAATCTTTTAACATCTCTCGTATCAATCTGTGATGCTGGGTAAAGAAAACTAGATGTACCAGGTTAAAACAAATTATGTATTTGTTCTTACTATTGTTCCAAAAAGAAGCTAACATGTACAACTATGGATTTCATTTTTAGGGTTGAAGTAGAAAACCCCGTTTCTCTCATTAAGTCATGTGACAAGAAAAAGTTTTTAAAAAATATCCTCTGAGATATTCTCTGGTACTTTCAACAAGATTTCTTATACTTACACACACTGGTAAAGGTCAAGGTTCCCCTTGACATTTAGTCCAGTCGTGTCCGACTCTAGGGCGCGGTGCTTATCCCCGTCTCCAAGCTGTTAAGTCCAGCATTTGTCCGTAGACAGTTTCCATGGACACGTGGCCAGCGCGACTAGATATGGAATGCTGTTACCTTCCCACCATGGTGGTACCTATTTATCTACTCACATTTTTACATACTTTTGAACTGCTAGGTTGGCAGGAGCTGGGACAAGAAACAGGAGCTCACTCTGTTGCATGGAATCGATCTTACAACTGCTGGTCGTTGAGATCTTATGATACACACTGGGTTTGCACAAACTGTGTAAAATGCAATTTGGTATTCTTACTTTTAAAAATCATTTGTGAAACACTGCAGTATTTTTAAAAGTAAGAATACTGGAGAAACAAACAAATAGGAAACAAAAACATGACAGCTACTCCTTTGAAAACTAAAAGTCAGGGGTGTTGTATCAGTTGCTTGCATGTTTTTGCTCTATCTCTTTCTGTTTAGCCTCTGGTAGGAAAAACTAAATGGGTGGGGTATAAATTCAATAAATAAATAAATATGTTTTGTGCAAATGTGAAAATCTTCCTGCTCCTTGTCCCATTCTTGTGCTGGAGGCAATAAATCTCATAGCTATCAACCAACTATTTATAGAATGTCACAGTGGGCAAAACCTGTTCATGCTGGATTTTAAGCAATAAGTGTCTCAGGAATGCTCTGCTTATTAAACCTGGAAATTTTAAAATGTTTTTTTTCAATATTTAAAAAATGATTTTAATTTTGGTTTTAATCTTGATACAGTGGTCTCTCACTAGACAGTTACCCCGCATGACAGTTTTTCGCTAGACATTGGCTTTTTGCAATCGCTATAGTGATTTGCAAAACAGTGATTACTATGGGGGAATTTCGCTGGACAATGTTTGGTCCCTGCTTTGCAAACCAATTTTCGTTAGACAACGATTTTGACAGCTCCCTCCGCGCTCGCAAACAGGTGTTTTTGGGACCTAAGCTTCGCAAGACAGTGATTTAAACAGCTGATTGGGGCTTTGCAAAGTGGCTTTCCTATGGCCGATCTTCGCTAGACAACGATGATTCTTCCCCAATGGAACACATTAAATAGGTTTCAATGCATTCCAATGGGGAAATGCTTTTCGCTAGACAATGATTTCACTAAACAGCGATTTCAGTGGAACGGATTATCATCGTCTAGCGAGGCACCACTGTATTTGTTTAATTGTTTTTTAATATGGTATTTAAGAAATGTTAATTGTGTAGTTTTAGCTGTTCTAGCTACCTTTGGTCCCCTATGGGGAGAAAGATGGCCTATGAACGAATGAAAGAACAAATGAATAAATAAATGCACAATGTAAAGTTACACCTGTATAAATGTGCTAGGTGTTACACCTGACAACAAGGCACTGCACTATTGGTTTTGTGACCCCAATGTGACCAGTTGCACAATGCAGCAGTAGAAGTGCTTCATAGATAGCACTTCTGCATGGGCACTATCATAAATACTGCAGTTGCAACTTGACATTGTGCTCATGTAGCTATGCAACAGGATTTTGCCCAATGTGTCAAGACAGTCAATCTTAAAAAGAATGAATAATGAACAAGAGTTCATCACAAGCCTAATTAAGAGTAATCAAATTATCATCCTTTGCTATCTCTAGCATTGTGTATCCCCCCCCATCCTAGGATCCTAAAGAGATAATATTTTCTGATGCCTGCACATTACAGTGGTGCCTCGCTTTACGAGCGCTCCGTTTGATGACAAAATCGCTTGATGTTGAAGATTTTGCGTTCGCAAAACGATGTTCCCTATGGGGGAATTTCGCTTTGCGCGTTCCTTGTTGGTAATCTGGCCTTCGCAAAGCGATGATTTTCGCACAGCTGATCAGCGGTTTCAAAATGACTGCCGGGTTAAAAAACATGGCCGCCCGCTGTTCTTTGGGACGGATTCCTTGCTGCACAGGCATTGAAAATGGCCCCGCTATAGAGGATCTTCACTGGACGGTGAGTTTGAAGCCCATAGGAACGCATTAATTGGGTTTTACTACATTTCTATGGGTTTTTTAATATCGCATTATGACGTTTTCATTTGACAGTGATTTTGCTGGAACGAATTAATGTCGTCATGCGAGGTACCATTGTAGATACTTAAAACATTAAGCTTGTCTAGGCACCTTAAACTATACCAGAAAGATTGGATATCCCGGACAACCCAGATAATTGGTTGCTGACCTTGAGCCAGACATCCTGGAGAGTGAAGTCAAGTGGGCCTTAGAAAGCTTGTCTAACAACAAGGCCAGTGGAGGTGATGGCATCCCAGTGGAACTATTTAAAATCTTAAAAGATGAC